AGTAAAAAAATTCAAGTGATATTGACAACTAGCCACGAAATGTATGAGTCAGAATAAAAATAAATTATTTTAATCTCTTTAAAATAGATTACTATAGAGTGAATAATAAACAGGAAAATATGGCATAAGCTTAAATGAGGTAGGCAAAATAAGTTTCACGCACAAGCGTGAAACTCTTGCTAGGATGTGAAAAGTATAAATATAAAATTTGAGACAAAAAAGTAGCCAGACCTGCGTCTTTTCATTTAGATCCAAAATTGCTAAGCCAACTAGAGCGCCGACACAATCCTGATCCAGATCAAGAGCTCGCTGAAATGCTAAACGGGCTTTATCGAGATGGCCTAATTTGAAGAAGCAATGACCCATTCCGAGGCGAACAGAGGAAGGGCAATTTGGTTGGAGTCTAAGAGCTTTTCGATAGAACCCGAGTGCGTTGCTGTAATCTTTTCGATTGAAGGCGATGCATGCCTTTCCCAAATAGGCTGGTACAGTCGGAGGACCTTGGCTGATAACAAAATTTAGCTGGCTGTCGGCTTGTATCCAGTTTTCGCCCTCGTAAATAAAGAAAAAAGCCCGACCCAGAAGATGTTTTTGGTCATACATGTCAATACGATCGGCTGATGTAAAGAGACGCGTTGCACGGGCAATAAGTTGGCTTTTCTTATCCTTGTTTTTTTCTCTACAATATTGGGTTAGAACATTTATAATTAAGAGAAGTAAAGCTAAATATTCACTGATTATTACTTGTATGCTTTTCTTCCGTAATAGTTGGCAAGCATATCTAGCAGCCTAAACAAATCACCCCCATTGTAAGAAGGAAGAGAAGCTGCAACATCTTTGTAGGTCTCCTCAGCTTCAGTTAAAATTTTCTCAAAATCGTCATGAAAGTTCTTCTTATAGTATGCCAGAGCTACATTTATCCAAACCGAAAGAGCTGCTTTTTCTTGGTTTAATATGTTTAAAACTTCTTCGCCTTCAGGAAGCTGATCAACATCAAGTTCAATAACCTCATCACAGCCACTGAGGGGTATTTCAATAGTGGTACCGGAAATATGAGCATCGTAATCTGAGGCAGCTACGGGTGTCTAACAAGCAAAAGTTATGAGTAATTGATACATAAATCTAGTGACCGAAATAAAGCTGATATATTGTGTAATAAGATTAAAAAGAAACCTGAAGTATATAGAGAAATAATGGCATTATGGGATTTTAACTAAAGATAAAAATATAAAAAAGAATTATTCAAAGCCAAATCACAGAAGAGAAGATAATCCAGACAAAAATTACCTCCATTACAAAATCAAAGCAGAAGCGTAGTCAGAAGATGCGCCCATGAGCGGGAGATCACAACAACTTTAATTAACAAGAATTTATTACTGCGACCACACAAAAGGCCAGACCATCTTGGTCTTCATACCTGTAATTAAATTAACATTAGTGGTCATTAAAATTAAGTAAAAATATTTACAAAAAATTATTTATAAAGTTAAATTTGGCACATTATTTATTAAAATAAATGTAATATTTATTTAATTAAAATTATAGTTTTTTTATAATATTAAAACAAAAATGATCATTGTTATATTTTGTTTGAAAATACCACTTCATGCTGTCTTGACTAGCAAATGAAGTAATATATTTTGAGAAATTATTCAATGATATCTAAAATCGTGAGGAATATTTGTTACACGAAGCAGATTTAATTAATTATTATTGCATAGCGTGATTAAAATTGTGATTAATAACTTAATATTATGGACTAAGTAAAAGGATTCGCAAAAAAATTTCTTTTTAGTTCCTGTACACTCTTTGTTACGGATAAATAGATAAATTAATATTAATTATACACCATGCATATACTAGCTTATTGTTAAACGGAAGATATTCTCCCACCTTATAAATTAAAATCCGCTGATCTTTGAAAAGAACCATATTCTTAATTACATCATCATATGCGCCTTAATCGTCGTAACCGAGAAAATCGTAATCACAATTTATCATTTATTGGGACAGACAAAGAATAAAGCAAGTATATAGCCTTAACCTGTCAGTACTTGCAACCACATTATGTATGTGTTCCTGTTTTTCATGAATCTATGGTGAAAAGGGTTTTCCCAATTATTTTTTTGATAGCCTCGTGTTTTAAAGTGATGCAGCTTTTTTTTCTTTGAAAGTCACATCAACTAAAAATATATTGGTAGACTTAAGTGGTGTCAGGTGGATTTATCTCCAGTATAAATAATAGAACCGTCATCGACCAGAAAAAAATATATCCGAACTCCAGTAAATTCGAATCAAGCT